CAGAAGGAATCAACAAACTAGGGCATAGTTGGGCAAAGTGTATTAGTGTGAAGGGAGACTATGGTATAAAATGATCAATGCTAAAAGATAGTAGTTTTACAGTGCATTAATTTCAAAACTTCCCACATCCGATATTTTTCACAGGAAACGATACTTGTTTCAACCAGAAAACAAATCAGCTTAGATATAAAGCTGACGTTTAAAATCAGTGTGGGTTGAATTTTGGAAACACCTCTTGCCTCCCGGACCGCATCTTCAAAATTTTAAATAGCACCCTCAGCTTGTAACCCCTTATTTTAAAGGTCTCAGAAGCCCCAAATCACTGCCGTTTACAGCATTGTAATAAGTTGATTAGTTATTTCAATAAGTCAAAACTAAATTTTCAAACATTCAACTTGTTTACCGTGTATGTATGTATGTTGTATACCGTTGTCTACTGAGAGTAGTTAGTAATCGTTTTTATTAAGTTTTGTAGTGTTGGCACAATTATAATTTGCATGCCTAATCACAATTTAATTTGGCAATACGTATTAACGGTATAATATATTTAATCAGGGGTGTTCTATGGTATTAACTCCTTGCTTGTCACTTACAGCGAAGGTGACACAGTGCCTTACAACCCACCCAAGCTTTCGCCTTTGGGCTTTATATACTCTCATCCAGGGAAACCCCCACCAGGAAAACCAGCGCCAAAAAGCCAACGACCGAAATATCAGGTGGCAGTTGCATAATGGGACACTTTAGAAGAAAAAATCAAAATAATTTTTACGTATGGGTCTAAAAATAAGTCCCTTTATGAGACATGGTAGTACTGCCTATCTAAAAACTTCCTGGCATCAGCCTATAGGTCCTCTCACCTCCAGCCGTTTCCAGTTTTGACCTACTAAATTCCAAAACAACTATCACAAAAGACCCACTCCGTACCTTGGACGGATCACCAGTGAGCCCAAAAGTTTTCCCATACTTCAGCCATCATCTACTTCCTAGCTTGACCAACTTTGACACCTCCGATTCCGTACTTTCAAATCCCCGACTTCAGTCTCATGACTTCCGTCGCCCTGACTTCCCCCTGATTTCCGCCTCCCTTACTACCATCTCCTGACGTTAATCTCCCTCACTTCCATCTACCTTACCCCCTCGACCGGTTTTGCGAATGTGGGCAACAGCCCTCTTGGCATAATCCACTACCGCAACTCCGTCAGGCCGTTTCAACCAATTAGCCGACGATCCTGCTCGTAAGAGTTACGGACAATCGGTACCAACCGGCCCCATGTGGAGGCGACTGAGTTTATCCACTTGTTTATTTAACAAAAGGCATTCTGAGAAAAATATAAGCCATCAATTTGTACTAGATCTGGTTCGAAAATTGCAAGAAACTGGTTCCATCGGCAACAAAGTTCATAAGAAACCCAGAGGTCTCAATGAAGCTATATAAATTGAAATTCTGAGCCATTTTAGTGTTGATTTCACCACTTCAATTTCGAAGCTGGCTGAGTTGAGAATCTCTTCATATGGGTCAATTTTTCATCAAAAATTACTATTATCAACCAGCAAGCAAATTCAGCTTTGCCAAACAATGATTGCGAGGATTCCAACTGAACCGCATTTGCTAAAGAAAAATTGTTTTAGTGATGAAGCAACATTTTTATATAATAAAAGTATAAAAACATACCTGCGCATATTGGTATAATGAGAATACCTCCAGAAGCCGAAATGCCGTTTTCTTAAAAGGTCAACTTTTGGGCTGAAATTGTGGGGAATTAAACAATAGGTCCATTTTTTTTTTTCATTTAAATTAAGGAAATACAACTGGTGAATCATGCTTCAACTTCAAAATGATATCGCCGCACTCAGTCCTTAGAAAGAAACAAACGAATGAAGAAGGAAACCTTTTGTCAGATGAATATTTTGACTTTCGGGGGCGTGGTGGATACCCAGATTATGCATTACCTACCTGTTCGACTCTGGTTCGGCAATGGCTGAACCATAGGGCTGAACGAAAGTTTCCTGACAAATGGAACAGCAGAAGAGGCGTGTACAATGGCCGGCAATATCGCTAGATTTAGCTCCCTTGAATTTATTCGTCTGGTCGTTGATTGAAAAAGTTTATAGATGCACTTTTTGAATCAACGCTCTGGTGTTATTTGAAGAGAGTTGTGTACATACCTGTCCCACGAAATATTCAGAACAAGTTGAAAACAGATTGAAGATTTGTTTAGCCAACAATCGTCATTATTTTGAACACTTTATAATGTGAAATTAAGCTCTTATAGTTAAGATAAAACAAGTTCTCAAATATTTGTGTGCATCTTCAGAAGCCCATATAAAAGCAGACATAAAAAAATCATAAAAAACCTACAAGATTTGAGATTTTATAAACTCCCCTATTATGTGTAGGTCCCGCTATAAATCATTCTGTAATAGTAAAATGAAACATTATTCTTCACGAATTTCTATTGCAACAAAATTATTAAACGTTTATGTATTTATAGGGAACTTAAAAAATGCAATTTTGATAATTCGATTACTTTCAATTTCAGATATAACTGGAAATACCTATTTACGCTATCAGCCAAAATCCACCAAAATCCGACTTTTCCAAATAATTTGGTTTCTCTATGCTTTTCACATGGCAATTTTAAATGCAGGAAACCTAATATCATCTCTTACCGTAACAAAGCACGAAAGCAAATCTAAAACGTTAGAAGATGTACTAAGTAGTACTTTGAGGTAAGTAGGTATATTAGCTTAACATATAAATCGCTTAATTATACTATGTTAAATGGAATATGCGCCGAATAAGAACATTGTTATTATTACTTATTACGACAATTAATAATATTCGAATTTCGCAAATAATTTCTTACTGTTTTTTCCGGTTCTGATTTAATCAAGATCGCTGTTTTTTTTTTAGGAAAAATAGTTCAACAGGTTTTCATGTGAGAACATACATTCTTATCCAAGTCGTCGTATATTTTGTATTTCTTATTATTCTTTAAACTTAAAAGATTTTTAAGATGGGACCCTTTGAAATTAATGTTCTCAGTTCTGCATATTGTTTCATTATATCGAGAATTAATATAGTTATTTTGCGAAACAATTTAAAACTTATATGCCTCTTCCTAACCGAGCTCAAACTCGAAATCTTCCCTGAAACCCATAAGTACCTCGCAGTCATTTATGTAGCAAGTTTTAGCACCCAAAGGAATGAAGGCCTTAGAAATTTAATAGCATCCAAAATTTTGTTTGAAACTTATGTGCAAACAAGATAAAGAATAGCTATTGTACATCATTTTAAAAGTAAAAGTAATTTGCCGTTTAACATTTGTGTGAAGCAAAGTACCATGAAATTCGTATTTTACAGTACATTATTTTTTTTAATGATTCATTCGTCTGTGGGTTGAGTAATGTGCTTCTACCCAACTAAACTTGCTCTTGCGAGTGTTTGTTGTTATTTTAATTACTTCTTCTAAATTGAAAATTAAATTAGAATGTTCTGTACTCGTTTTTATTACATCTAATAATTTCTTTCGTCTTAAAATTTGTATTTTATTGGTAAAACGTATCTTCTACTTCGGGTAAAAAATCGAAATAATTTGAATTCGAACTGAACTAGCTATTTAGAAATGATAGCTGAATTTCCGCTAAATATTTTTGAATTTCATGATTGGATATGTTTATTTGCAAAGTAAATCAAAAGAATAATTTGGATTTTTGACAAATATTAGTTTATGAAATTTCCTGGATTACACGGAGCTATGATTTAGATTTTTTATTTTTTAAATTTATGTGCAATTAATAAGTTTACAACTTGTGAGACGGATTTTTAACTTAGTTAACAAGTTTACAATGGTCGAAATGTAGAATAAAGTAAGTTTATACTTTACAAGCTTTTTTAGTTTCAACAATGTATTGGTCACATCAGGAAAGACTAAACCCGCATAAAAAAAAATTCTGGAAGATAGTGACAGTTGAATATCGAATTTAAACTTGATGAAAAAGGATTGTTTTGAAATAGTCCCATGTTTGATTGGTACATAGGATATTCGAATACTTAAACGTTCGAAAATAAAAATGACGATATTTGCTTCAAAATACGAAACATTCTTATATTAAAAAGTACTTCTCTGCAAATTCTTGAGGTAAATACACAACATAACAAGCATTTGTGACACTTTTAAACTTCTTTCACAAAATCTACGCCAATATCGAAATTGAGCTTAGCTATTAGTAATGTGGGAATGACACAATAACATAGCAGAAGCTGTTATTGACGTAGATAGCGGACAATCAAGCGATGTTCGAAGGTTTCCAGACATAGAGGACCAGGATTGGAGATAACTGCAGCAGAGTCGGTGGTCAGGAGTACCTACTCGGAACATTGCACAACAACTGACACTTTTCCATGTACTAAATAAATACCTAAGAAGGGCTACATTCCTACCACGTATGTAAGATACACTGAACCCAAGGACACATTAAGTCTCTGGTTTACCGAACACCGAATACGAGCAGGAGAAGCTGCTCGACAAAAGTGCACAATAAGGTCATTACACGAGCACGAATTTGTTTGGAGTTAAACACAAAATGTATGTATTTTTGTAAACCGATCAATTTGAGATTATGTTATCAATAAGAAAACAATTTCTCGTCGACAATATTGACATTTCTAAAAAGTAGATTTCAAAATTTAAGGAATCCTACACCTTAACCTATTTTTTGCCTTAACCCTTCTGTGTTTTCCCATGGTTACCCCATCCCATGTCTTACATGGACTACCATCGAGCGAGGCGAGATCGAACACGAGTTCTGATCTAGTTTTTTGCAGATTCTCCGTTTAAGATAGAAGTTTATTTTACTATTTTTCCTGTACTTCATAAACATCCCTAGAGAAGTGACGCACATTTTGAATCACCCTGTATTTCTAATAAAGGGTGGGCCCCAACATTAACATGTTGAATTTTAAACTACCAGCTATTAATGACGCTGTCAACTTGAGCGTTATGAATTGTTGAGAGTTATTTAGATTAACTTTCCCCTGTCAGAACATATATCGTTTTAATTTGGATCGACGTTTTGAAACACTCAAAATTTACTTTGAGTGAGGCTCTGTGGTTGCCGAGACCGCACGAAATTTGCGGAGAAAGTTTGGAAGGAATGAAGCACCGTCAAACCAAGGAATTAGGAATTTTATTGTTAAAGTGAGCAGAAGTGGAATGCTGGTGGACATGACACATGTTTCGCATGTGCATCCAAGGCGTACACTTGAAGCAGTTGCTGCTGTGAGCGAAAGTGTGTGTCTTAACCCGTCAGCATCAACTCGGCGCAAAAGTCAACAACTGAACATTAGTCGTACCACCTTAAGGAAGATTTTAAACAAAGATCTTGGTATGTATGCGTACAAAGTTCAGCACGTTCAAAAGTTGAAGCAAATTAACCATCAAGAACGTTTTCGCTTCGCTGATTGGGATTTAAACAAATTGAACAATGATCCTTATTTTGCAAAAAAAATAATATTTTCGGATGAGGCGCATTTCCACCTTGACGGTTATGTTAACAAGCACAACTGTAGAATTTGGGGCACCGAAAATCCTCTCGTCGCTTTAAATAAACTCATGCATCCAGACCAAGTCACTGTGGGGTGTGGATTTTAGAGTGGTGGCGTGATTGGGCCCTTTTTTCCAGAATGAGGCTGGTCGGACCGTTTTAGTAAATGGCAACCGCTATCGAGATATGATAAATTACTTTTTGTGGTAAGAATTGAAAATATCGGTCTTGAGGAAGTTTGGTTTCAACAGACCGGGGCCACCATCAACCTTTTACGCACAGAGTTTAACAATCGTGTAATTAGTCGTTTTGGAGATGTTAATTGTCCACCGCGTAGCTGCGATTTAACACCACTAAACTACTTTTTTTGGGCAAATTGAAGGATAAAGTGCATGCGGACAATCCTCAAACAATTGACCACTTGAAGCAAAACATTCAAGCTCAAATCGCTCAAATAGACCAGCAAACTCCTAATAAAGTGCTTGAAAATTGGAATTCTGGAATGTAGTACCTACTGCCGAGTCAGCAAGGGTGACCACTTGACTGAAATCATTTTCCGTACTTCATCGGAATACACATTGTAGCATACGAAATAAAATAAATAATAAAAAAATCAATTTTTCCTATTCTTACTATTAATTTATAATTCAACATATATATGGCCCGCCCGGTAGAAGATAGATAATATCTACATAAATAAAAAAGCGCAAATGTAGTGTGTAGTAGATATATTATTAAATAATATTACAGAACAAAAGCTGTCATTAAAAATACTTACAGTTTATTATTCAGATTACAGGTCTTAGCTACAACCATTCAAGTGCTAATCAACGACAGATTTTCTTACTCGGAAAAGCAAACTATTTTACGCAAATATAAAATTTGTAATAATTTGTATGATTGCTTAGAAAGAGTAGCTGTAACAAAGGATTCGGCCTTATGTCTACCTAAATCGATGGTCGAGTAAGTATTATTAATATATACATTTGCCTCAAAACTCTTGCCGCTTTAGATATCACAATAAATTGTAATAATAAACTATAGTATAATACATTACCTATAAATGTAATTTTGATATAAGCTTTATTTTTGCATATTTCACATTGATCTAAGTACATCCACGATAGCACACAAATATTACAGTAATACATTTTTGCAATATTTAATGCAGGTTTGACGCGACAGACTCTTACTATATATTATGAAATATTTATTTCAAATATTTATTTGACATTTAAATCAGATATTTAAGAAACACTTTTTTTTAAATATTTGTTTAACATTTAACTAACATTTGACATTTATGTTTTTAATTATGTCAGATATTTGTTTTATATATTTTTTTAAATATTTGTTCGGATGTTTGCACACATCTCTTCAATATAGTGGAATGTAGTTATATTTTTTATGAAGAAAACAAGAAATAGGCGCTAACTTAATTTATTGTAAAATACAAAACACGTGGTAACAATTGGCTGATCTGATGGATGTCGGTGCAGCGATAATCGAATAATGAATAATGCGCTGACGATTCACAATGCGCTTCACGTGAAGTGCATTGACAGGCATCTGCGTGAAAAGTAGTGCCAACATGCTGGCAGTTCTTACAATAATATAATTTTAATATTCCCTGTTCTAAACTAAACATACTCCTCCCTTTTGAGCAACTGCTCAAAACATTTCTTGAAAGGTACACTGTTCACTAGGTATTGGAAGCGGACACACTTTACTAATGGCACGTTTAAATGTACCGTGTTGCGTTTTAACACTGACACTACTCGTACTTCGCCGTCAAGTCCTGGATGCGCCTCGATTATTCTTCCTAATAACCATCTGCAAGGACTAACGTTGTCGTTCTTCAGAACAACCGTTGTTCCCAGTTTGAGCGTTGAGCCTTTCGTCTTCCATTTGACCCGTCTTTGTAAATCTGCAACATACGATGAAGACCATTGCTTCCAGAAGCTCTGGTTGATTTGTTGCAGCATTTAAAATATGGACAGCCGATTGGTTTTTACATCGTTGAGTAGAGGGTCCGGTGGTGTAATCAATAGCTTGCCAATCAATAAGTGGGATGGGGTAAGAGGAGTTAAATCGTTAGGGTCTGAAGACATTGGATGCAATGGTCTTGAATTAAGGACAGCTTCAATCTGTACATACAACAGTGTTAAATATTCTTCATAAGTAAGCACGGAATCACCGATTACCTTGTACAAATGATTTTTTATTACTTTAATGTTTGATTCCCACAAACCACCGAAATTAGGGCTGTTAGGAGGAATAAAGTGCCATGTAATGTTCTCTTTTGAACACAATGCAATTAACTAATTTTCAGAATTTTGCAAGAAATTATAAAATTTTATTAGTTCTTTTTGAGAAGCCACAAAATTAGTGGCATTATCAGAATAGAGATGAGACGGAGTTCCCCGTCTAGCTGTAAATCGTCTAAGTGATGCGATAAAAGCCTCACTTGTTAAGTCCGTGACCAATTCAATATGAATGGCTTTTGTTGCAAAACAGATAAACATACAAATATATGCCTTATACGTTTTATAAGGCCTTCCTTTAGGGTCTCGTAGGCTTACTGGTCCAGCATAGTCCACACCCGTTATTGAAAAAGGCTTAGATACATTAACTCTGTGTTTCGGTAAATCACCCATAATTGTATTTGCTGGTT